CCCCAAAACCCCAAAACCCCAAAACCCCATCATATAGAAGTTTAAAGGTTTTGGTAGAATTAGAAACAGAGAAAAAATTGGTAATATAAATAATTAATGTAATTAAATCACTCAACCTGTTTCATTTAGGCTAGATCCAATATTCCATCAAATGATGTTAAAAACTATGGTACTGACTCAAGCTTTGAGCCCTTAATTGAACAACATCTCAACGTGGACTAGCTTAATCATCACAGAGAGTTTAATCAGTCACAGCTGGTGTCACAGAAATAAGTGGAAAGACACTAAACTTGTAATAATAGTTCAGTATTAGATTTTGTATCTGATACTTAAAAGCATGAAGAAGATTAGCAAGAATTATTAGAGGTGAACTAAATACAGTAGTAGAAGGTTAGATAAATTAATAATAAGACTAACTTGCTTTTGACCACTCATTCTAATCTTAAATAATTAAAAGTTAGTGATTCAATGATGAGCGCTACTTCTCAATTCATTAACAAGTCTACGATGCTTAGATAGCTCTATGCTGTCTAAACACAAACTTACAATTCTAAATCTCAAGTATAATCAACTCTTATTGGGAGACAACAACATTTAAATAATAAAGAAGAATATAATAATGATTTTTATTAGCAAAAATATTAAGCAGATAAAATGTCTGTGCCCCTTTTGAAATCAAATGACACCATTCAAATTAATTCAAATCGCCTTACTCCTTAAAAGTTAGATTAAGAGCCATCTAATCAGAATTCATCAACCAACAATAAATTAACTTCTGCCAAATTATTCAGCAAAACAGATTCTAGTAGTAAATAGAGTGGAAATGTAGAAGGAGATTAGATCAAATAAGATAATTAGAAAATCTAATATCAGCAGAAATAGAAGCCTTCCCAAGACTCTCTCTCTAGCTAGCAAACTTGTGGATAATAATAAATTTATTCAGCATAGACAGCGACTTAAACTCAATTTAATCATCAATCCAAATTCTTCACTTTGGAGCAGCCAATTTTACAGCTCAATAATCAAACCATATTCATAAGAGGTAAGAATGGCAGAGGCTATTAAGGAATCAATAATTATAAAAATAGTGTGAGAATACCCACAATCTAAGAGTGGTTCTAAAGTCTTTCAAAAGACGACAAGATTTTGTGTCTGACTATAGTAGACTTTACTTTGGTAAACTCAATAGTCAGAATGCAACAAAGACTCAATAAAAAAGGCTAGGGAAAGTTTTCACTCGTAACTAAGCTTTTGAAATAAACTATTAATGCTGCCAGTGGAAATGGATCGTAGCCTAGCAAGTATTAGTCCTAACTAGTGCAGGATGTGAAGTTTAGTTCCATTAAAAATTTCATTAAGGATGATAAGGACAAGATCGCATAGTAGGCTAAATAGTGCCATGAAAAAGATCTTCTTGACTTGGTCAGACTTACTCACACCAAAGTCTCTACAAATTTAAAGAACTAGTAAGAGGTAACTGACTTCTTGATGGAGGACTAAGACTTGAACACTTTGACTGTAGCTTAGACTTTAGTGCAAGATCCTGTAAAGTTTTATCAACTAGTTTAGGCTATAGTAGGAAATAACTTTCTCAAAGTTCCATTGGAGTAATTAAATAGTCATGGTGATTAAATTTTATTTTAGGATAAATTGGGATGATTAGAAAATGTTCTTTATAGTCAAAACACCAACATGGTTTGTTCCTTCTGCTTACAATTCGCTAGCATATTGGGTAATCTTTTTATTTGAAATTTCACTTTGGGTTCACTATGAGGCCTATGTGAAGTCTCGGTTTATGATAAACAAAACAACACTTGATCCCAAATTATTTCTTTCAAAGCAAGGGTAGCTTATTAATGTTAAAAATGAGCTGCAAAGCTATTGGTCATAAATACAGGAGAAGTCTAAGTAGAATCACACTATTCTAAAAGATATAGGATCTGAGGTGTTTAAGAGATCAAAATTGCTTTAACTTAATCAACCTTAAGAAGCATCTGCAAATGAGGATTTTTTGAGTCTGAGCTAACTTAATGGAGGGCTGATTTAGGTGAGGACAACTGCTCCGCCAATCTTGAATTCAGAATCCAAGATAATTGAGGCATTGCAACAGAACAGAGAACCTGAGATGTTCATGAATGATTTGTGCTTGTTCAGTTTGAGTAGAGTTGGAAGTCAACTCAACAAACTTGAAAAAATACTGGTGGATGTGTTGAGAGATAAATTGGAGGAAAACGAAAGAAACCAGAAGATTTTAAGCAATAAGAAAAATTAAAAGAAAAAAAACAAGAAGAAGACTCAGAAATAAGACCAAACATCAAATCGAATTGACAATGAGTAGGTAACTAATTTGGAATCAGTCATGATAGAAGAAAAATTCAATGAGGAATTAAGTTGAAGTTTAATGTCTTAAATACAAGTTGATAGGATAGAAAAGGATAATTTGGAAGAAAAGAAAGAAAACTTGTAAGAATCTGAGAGTGAACATCTTTTAACACAAATTTAAGAGGAAGAAGAAGAAGATAATATCTATGATCAATACTACTGTAAGGACTTAGATGAGTTATCGATTGCTTTGCTTGTTCAATAATCTCAACATCACATCCAGCCTAGGAATAATGATTTACTAGATGAACTGCTGAGAGATGAAGGGCCAGTATAAAACAAATTAGAGCAAAAAGTTTAAATTATTTAGAAAATTATGAAAATACCATCAGTGAAACCTATCAAGGAATATTTAAACTATCAAATTACTAATGAAGATTAAAAGTATGAGTTGAATGATCATGCCTATGAAAATTAAATTCATCAATTAATACATGAGGATGAGGAAAAAGAGTAAAACAAAGAAGAGTAAAGCGCTAACAGTGATTCAACTGAGGATCTCAATTAACAAGAGCATCATCATTTAAGCGAAATTAAAATGAACTAGACCATTGAGTCTCCAAGTTAGAAACTAGACACTTTAGACTATAATATCATCGAAAGACTAAAATAGAGTGAATTCAGTGCTGGATCAGTGGGTTACATGTCTTCAGATAGATTTGATGAAGATGATTCTAAAAAAGCATCAATCAATCACGACATCAAGTCTTTTATTGAAGAGAGAAAGAATTAGGTTATTAAGAACCAAAGCACCACTAAGAAGAAAAACAACACAAAATCTTTTATGAGTTCATAGAAAGAGCTATCAATCTAAAATGACTTGAACAAGAGTTTAGATGACTCAATTAATAACTTTCAAATAATCAGATCAAACAAAAACTTCAACAATTCAGCCTCTTAAAACAACAATAATAATTCTAGCAAGTAATAATAACAGTAGAATTAATAACAAACATAAAATCAGCAAATCTCAAAAAATAAGAAGAAAAAGAGAAGCAAAGCCGTACTCCCTCAACTAGCGCAGCAGTATTCTTCAAATAATGATAGTTTAAAAGATCAAAGCTAGAAACTTAATGAATTTATGAGGAATATTGTGCAAGTTAAAGAACCAGTTGAGGTCTAAGAGATTTAAAAGCCATTTTAGAAGATTGAAAAATAAGTATCGAAGATAATACCTGAAAAAGAATAAACCACTCAACAGGTAATCCCTAATTATGAGATTAGGACCAAGTTATAAGTGCAAAATAACACCAATCAAACTGCTTCTACATAGACTTAAAAAGATAAGCCAATTTATATCAGAAAAACTAATAGGCATGAACCAATCCCTAACACTCTTGATAACTCTATCATCTTGAATTAATAGTAAAATATAACCATATAACCAGCAGAAATCAAAGAATAAGAGATAATCAAGCCAGTGAGAACTAATCAGTTGAATAAATCACATGATGTGGCTAAAAAGAGTAAATAGAAGCAATAATAATAGCATCAAAGATTTTAAAATTTCATAAATATGAAAGACCCGCTAGATAAAAGCTAGGACAACCAAAAGATATAATTAAACAAGGAGAAATCTAAGAAGTCTAATCATAAAAATAGTCATTAGCATCAGCTTAAAAATAACAAAAAGAAAATGACAAATACCCAGAATAGTACTTAAGCTAGTGGGTTAATTACTCCTTAGGAGTACCCGTCAAACAATAGTGTCTAGTAGCACTAATTCAATGCACCATATGGGATGCCTAATCAAATGGTAAACACAATGCCTGAGCATCAAATGTATCAGAATGGGTACATGCAGCCATAGATGCCATATCAACCAGATGGGTTCAATGATATCTTTAGAAATATTTAAAGTTAGCAGGGTATTTAGTACCTTCAATAGCTAATTCACCAAGCAATCCAACAAAACTAGTTTAATTTCTAGGACAGATCTCAAAATTTCTATGATAGCCCTAACTTTCCACAAAGCCCAGATGAATACCAACATCAATAAGATGATTATGAAAGAAAAAATGCATTGATAGCTGGATTTTATGAAACTTTGAGTTAATAACTAGAAAGTCTAATGAATACCATTGAGAATAAACTCGACTCAGTTGCGAAAGAGAGGATATCTGCTATCAATCTACTTGAAAAACTGATCAATGAGAATTTAAAGCCTCAAAATAATCAGGCTTTTCAGATAAAAATGTATGGCTCTATGGCCTCTAAGTTAGCAATTGAGCAAAGTGATGTTGATTTGGCTGTAGTGGGTTTAGAATTTTAGGGTATTAGGGAACTGTAAATAAAAGAAATGAGAGTATTGTTTGAAAGACTCTAGGAGTCACTTAAGTATCTCAAAAAATCAAGCATATTATTCATCGAATCAGCAACAATTCCAGTTATCAAATTATCAATCGATTTAGAAGAGCTTAGCATATCACATTAAGATGGGATTGAAATCGAGATTGATCCATAAATGAGGAATCTTGGAATTGACATTACATTTGAGGATCAATCATTGTCCTTGTTTTATGGTCCAGAGGGTTAAAGAGTGAACCTAGGCATTTAGTGCATCCAGTATATCCAAGATCTATGCTATTAGTAGCCATTCTTAAAGCCAATAGTCCTATTTATGAAGAAACTACTCTAGAATAGTAACCTGAACTAACCATTTTACGGAGGAATAAACTCTTACTCACTAGTACTGATGGTTTCCGCCTTTTTAAATAAATTTGGAAACTATAGTACCCCAAGCCAAAGTCTGTTTGAATTCCTGAGATATTTTGGCTACTACTTCGATGCAGAAACTGTGATGATTGACAACTAAGATTTCATAAAAACGATGTGCCCAATGATTGACCCGATGACTATATTAGACCCACTTAACAAGGCAAATAACACAACACGAAGTGCATTCAGAATAAGAGAAATTTAGGAAGTGTTCAAGAGAGTTTTTGAGTATATGAACTCTAAGTTACTAGAGGTGAATGATGTCTCGGTGGCATAGTGTGAATCTGATATGCAATAAGACCCTCAAGAATTGTTGATGGGTGCTTTAAGCACTAAGATTGGCAATGTAATTAGAGATGTCCTTGAAAGAGAAGATATCGATCATTAGTAGTGAAATTAGATTAAGTATGTATGATGATCAGCATGCAAATAATAATTAACAGTATTTTGTATATCAACATTTATAACTCACTTTACTACAGGCAGACAGGAAACTCCACAGTCTCTGCCAAATCATAATTAAGTTTGTATTATTCTTACATATTTGTATTAATCTTTAGATCTTCACAATAAGTTCATCTCGGGGTTTTGGGGTTTTGGGGTTTTGGGG